CATAACGTCGGGAGAGGCCTCAGACCTATGCAATATGAGCAATATGCATTATGGTAACCGTGAGAAAACATTACTTAATTAGGAACGCAAATTCGATATTACTTTTCAATTTATTTGAAGACATATACACTATGACAAGAAAATAAGCACATATTTAGAGCATCAAGAAAGACAACCAAGACAATGACAAGTGCAGTAAACATGTATATCACTGTAAAACTCAAGAAATAGTTTGTAATACAAGGAAATACAGTCAGAATCTGTAGAAACAAAAAGATAGAAAAAGCTAGTCAATACAAATAACTTTCCCCCACATATCATGAAGAGATCTTTGCTGCCCTATCTTGGTCTTGTGGCAGCATCGAAGACATTATGAAATGTCAATTGGAAACATTCTTTTTGTATTGAAGTATGTCAGAGAACAATATGTAAGGCTTCTGGGTACAAAAATCACAACAGTAAGCAGTCTAATTTCCCAAAATGCTCAGAATTTTGCATAATTTTCTCACAAATCTTGATGCAATATGCAATAGACTATTTTTGTGCATAATTCCCTTATCCCGAGCTGGGATTAGGCAGAAAGCTATGCAATATTCAATTTATGCATTATAATGTGATGCAATAAGGTATTTTCAACTGTATATGTACGAGCACCCTTTTCCTGAACCAAATGCTTCTGGACAAGGCTATCCGACGGTGGCACTGTCTTCCATTGGTGTACACAAGGCTAGGACAACCAATTGTGTGTGATTAAGGTCCGTAGACAAGAGACCTTGGGCTCTGATTGCATGCTGGGCGCTTACCGGCACGCTCGTTAGCGTATTGCTCATTTGTCAAAACAGCACATGACCGAGGCGCCAAGGGATCGTTTATCCCCTACTTCTGCGAGTGAACACCATTAAGCAACTCGTACCAGAGCACCAGTGGCTCACTGAGACTCTCCCTCTAACGTCAGGATAACTGTGTTGTTACCCCACACAACAGATTCTCCATCTCCAGCCATCATTACCAATGGGCCAGACATCTACTGACGGTTATCTTTTGTATGTCAAGTAGCCTCTTTAGTGGTAAAATCTAAGTGTTGCCGCCACTGACATACACATAGGGACGTCCTTTTCCTCCTGGATGCTACAGCAAGCATGGATCCATACATCAAAAGCGCGAAGGAGCGTATTATCGAGATTTGTACAATCTTGAATGCTTCAGGTCGATTGGAACAAGACGATGGTCTTCAAATGGGGCTCCTTGCGTATCGAGACTATCCTGAGAGAGACACCGAATTCGTGATCAAGCCTCACTCATTCACGTTCGACGTGCGCGATATAAAGGACCAGCTGCACAACCTCAATACGAAGACGAATGCTGATCTGGCTGAAGCATTTAGAACGGCATTGGACTACGCACTGACAAAGATGCAAGGATGGAGAAGGGATGCAGTAAAGGTAATTATTGTTGTAACAGACGCTGCTCCACATGGCATTAAAGAGAATCGCAATACGGACCGCTACCCTAACGATGGGCCTGAAGGTAGGGAGTCCAGTTCATCTATTACCTCGGGTCGCCGTACTAATTGAAGCAAGACGAACTCAGAGACCCTCTTGATCTTGCGATATCGAAGGCAGATGAAAAGTACTCTATCGTGAGTGGATTACTTATTTGGGAATATATGCCAACCTGACGGACGTCAAAAGGTTGTACTTGCATGTGAGCCAACGCTGAGTAAACAGACGGTTAGGATACCTCTGTTTCACGAGAGAATAAATTCACTGACTCAACGCAGGAATACGCGATAGATTTCTACAGAGCACTGGCAGACTTGTCGCTGTACGGTTCCTAAATTGTCATTGCACCTGTGCTCTAACGGATGTAATATTAGAGGGGTATACTTGCCGCTAACCGACCATAGGGCGCTTTCGACGCTTATCCTTGGTTCTCTTCTAGAGAAAATGGATCTGAAAAGGTTAAGCGATAAATATCGGGAGGACATCTTGAAGCGTGTTCTCAAGGAGGGCGCACCAGTTGAATCGGTCATTGATGAACTCCATGAAAAACTGCAGAACGAAGGCGAACACGTCATGTCCGTCAAGTCAAGCAATCCCTATAATGACAGCGACGAGTCAATTCACAACTATAAAACTTTTCTGAGTGCAGATACTCTTAAGGATGCAAGGGAATCTTTGAAGGTACGCACTTTCTAGGCGGTCACGTCATAGCTATTCACAGACATATTTTGTAGCCTTTGTCGACTCGTCACATGAATGGGAGAGCCAGACAGAGAATTGAGGAAGGACAAAATAAGGGCGACAGTTTCACCACGGTTGAGGTTCGCTTTGCCAACCGCGGGGAAAGCACTATCATAATGAAGCACTACAACGACCAGATAGAGGCATTGAATAAGGTTACTATTCCAGGAGGATTTACCCATTCTGCACCGTTCAAGGTTAATGTCGCAAATAATTTCATGTTTGCAAGTGGGACTATAACGAAGATGATCAGGTCAGAAGCTAACAATTGTTTTGTGGGACATTCCTGACTCATCATATTCTTAGTCGAACATTCGATAGACAGGCTGAGATTGCGGTGCATCAACTGTTTGCGTAGGCGAAAACGGATGTCTTTCTCTGGACATTGGTCCCCCGCTGCATCGCTCCCACGCATTAGTTTTATTTTATTTTCCGATGCCACTGGCTCGTCCGTCTCTGATAGCTTTGACATGCGATTTAAGATGCTGAGTTCCCTGTTTCCCCATGTCTTGTTAAGAACTATCCTGTAAATTATAAACAAAAAGTCCAAGAAGAAAGAAGTCAAGAAATACCTCACCTCAGTCAATATGATGTGTAGTTGAATGCAGTGGTAATTACAAAGCGAATGACTCGATGGCTTCATTGGCGCGACTATACGCAACTACCAAACAGGGTGATGACTAATTCCAGCATCACATCAGCAAGGGGAATCGGCGATGAAGGATTCACTTATCGTGTCCCACGTCAGGTACTGCGCTGTTACCGGGAATTGCTGGTCATCGAGGCGGCGCCCACAGAAGTGTACCTATACTTTTCTCGGTTGAATCCTTGTCTGGACTTTGGAAGACTCGCGCGAAACAGCGATGCGTACTTACGAATATGATCCAGGAAGCAAGGACTGAGGATATCAGTCGCCATGCTGACTGCCCGCCGACACCGACGAGCAACACGGAAGCACGTCTTTAAATGACAATACTCTTGAACTGGCGTATAGACGAGCTTTGCTATTTGTTTTGGCTCACGTCAATCAACCTTTTTCTCCCTTTGCTGACTGGATTGCTGGCCCTTATCTGACTTGATCTTACGGCCTTCCGAACGTAGCGAAATGAACGCTGTGTACTCTTGCGAGTGGTTCTGGCTCTAGTGTACTTCTGTTGATGTACGGTGTACAGCAGAATAAATTGAAGTGAGTTCCAAGTGCATTCTATCATTCATTGCAGACAATTTCTCGCGGCCAGTCCATTGTCGATTAGCCTTTGGCTTATTCAAATCACCAATACTCAACGGCTGCTCATTTGGTTCTCGCCTGTCGACCTTCAGGGTTCTAAATTCCTTCCTCGGAACAATCCGCACAATATACGGTATTCTCGCCGTTCCTCTGTCAGCCGACGTAATAGTAATACTATTTCCGGTGAGCTTCTAAGTTTCCTCCACATGTATTGGATAGTCTGCAGAACCAATATGAAACGTTCTATCATTCCTTCACTCCACATGACATAATTCAAGACAATGCTTCGTTGACAGGCGCTTTGTGCCAGTCTGCCTTTACTTGCCAGCTATTTCCACCCAGTGTGTCATGCATAATATACAAGGCACATCTTTCAACTCGAGCGCCTGTCGGAGTTAACCGGTATCTGCTTTCCAGTGATCTACGTTGACAATGTATGGTTGGTTCTTTCAACACTCGGATGATGGCCAAATCTGTGTGGGAGCATGCCTTGGCGGGAAAACAGCTGTAATATCCCCATACTAACCTAACGAGTCGACCTCATGTGAATTTTCAATGTCCTCAGGAAATCTGATTCGCATGCCTCTGAGGGCTTTGATGCTCGAGCAAAGGAATTGGACTGCTACCCGGTTTTTCCTGTTTATCAATGTCAGCTTATGAGTTTGCATAATTCTATGTGCATAAGTTCTACTTATTGCTGCATGCAATTAAATGACTTACACACTGTATTCCACGTTTCGTCCTATGTTGTTACCGAGTTTGCTGGTTGTGGATGCATTGATGCAGCACCCATGTGGATGTGCCTATATTATTTCTGGGCTAATGTCGTGCCCAAACGCTAGACGCTTCACACCCAACTTCAAGAATATATGTACAACAGATATAATGCAGATAGTTGTAAGTGTCAGCTTTCCATACCAGTGATAGGTATGTTCTTAGAGGGGTTTGTAATCCAGAAATACACAAGAGTGTATGCTAGGTTTTTTGCAAAAATGCACTGCAGGTTCGTTCCTTTCTGTCTGTTCAGAAATTTGACCCTGGTAGCAGGCAGGGTGCTAGTCAAACTCTAAATCAATTTAGATTTGCTTTCAATACATGACTCTTCAAGCACTGGTAGGGAATTAAGACGTGCAGTCTGTTTGACAGATATGACATGTGAGCAAAGATGCTGCACATGTCACTCCTTCTATCAGAGAAGATGCAGGAAGACGCCTCTGGCCTTCCCACACACAGGGGTAGATACTGAATACCTCAATCTCACATTTGGACTTACACGGAGCGCCCTGTTGTTGCCTCAGGAGTCATCCTCTATCAATTCTTTAACGTGTCCAATCTTTATAAATGTCAGCAATGAGGGACGTGCTTGCTTTTTAGGACAAAGACTGACCAAGACAACATGATTAGGTTTCTAAGCAAAAAATAAAGTGGCTTGTGTAGCTTGGTGTATCATGATCTCATGTAAGATCACTGTATAGTATATACAACGAAAAAACTTTTTTTAAAATCCTACTCTAGCACCTAAGTAGAAGAGGAAGTAAACAGTTTTCATAACACTTTTAAAGCATTCTGAGCGTCTCATTTCTGACAACTGACCCGAGAAGATGCTCTGTTGTTCTAGCAGACACGATGTGCTTATTAATTCTGCAGGCAGTACTTGTATAAATATTCTACATTGCTTGTAAAAAATTATCTAAACTAGCAACCAGTCCCAACCAACTCGAATCACTCAGAAAGGCTCTTTATCTCTTGCACCCGTTATATCATGTCTACAATTCAACTCGAGCTCACCAACTGGGGTTCTGACATTATCAGTGTCACGTATGCTGAGCCTAGTGGGAACGTTTCAGCACCATTTGTATGTCAGATGTTCTATGCATTCAACTCCTTCAGCATGTTAGACGTGTGGTAACATGTTACTTGTCATTTCTTCAGCCTGTCGAGCCCAACAAGAAAGTCTTCCGTAGGTACAACACTGGAGACACGATCAATTTTACATTCCGGAAAGGCACAAAGGAGGTGACAGAAAGGTATACTGCCAAGTGCTCAAATTATGAATAAAATGACAGACAAATCTCTTCTATCATTATAGTAGGACCTTGAGTTCAAATGCACAGCTTGATGTCAACAAATTCTTCAACTGAAACTGTTTTCTAATGTCAGTCTTCTGCTCCCGTCTGAGATTAGCACACATCACGAAAAAGTCGCAACAAATGTAAT